AATCAAAGTGCTTGTTGACAGAAGAACATAATGTCAACTTCACGGTGCACTGTTGGTGGATAGTTAATGAACTTAATTAGATAATTAGTGATGTTAATTATCCTTCTATTATGAAGATAAAGATGTTACACAAATGATGCACTTTTCAGAGAAATATCATTATATATTTGCTTTTTTAAACTCAGTAAAGTTGAAAAGCTGATAAAATGAATGAAGCCCCAGTGCTCTTTCCTGATGGACTCGTGGGGTGACAGCCCTGCCCCAGACAGGACTAATTCTGTATCTGTGATGCAGCTATTGTTTGTACTAGGTAACTAAGTCCTAGCGCTGTATAAAACATATTAAAGAACTCCTGTAAGTGTTGATGTAGAGATTTACATTTCCAGCATGGAAGGAATTTAAGCCTGTAGTTCAAACCATGGAAATTCAATGGAAATTTTATGTTTAAATATGTCTCAAAACACAGTGTATTACCACCACAGGTGAATCACTAGAGATACTAGGTATACTAGCCATATTTATCCTAAGAATGAGTGTTACATGTGAAACAATTTTTTTAAATTTTTTTGCTGGCTGTGGAAATTTGAAAAGATTGTCATTCTTGGTGTAACAAATGAATAATTTTCTGCAGTAACAACACTTTTAGCTGCTGGCTAAGAGAAAAGCCTGGTGAATAAACACATGAAAAAACTAAAAAAATAAATTTCCTGTAAATCTAAAACTAAAGAAAGTCCAAAGTCTTTGAAATAACATGTTGTTTGAAACATGCCTCTGTCTTTCTCAGACTCCAAAAGAAACTTCAAAATTAACGCCTAGAAGAGATTTGATTCTTCCTCTTGGGAATCTATAGAGGCAGGACTCGACAGACAACTTCCAGTGGAGCTTGCCAGAGAGACATTTACTGTTACTTTAACCAAGGATATCTGTTGTTAGGAAACTATGCAGAATTCAAGTGGTCCTTGGTCATATCACTATCTTCTTGCTCAGTGATGAGGACGTACAACTCACTTTCCTAAACCAGTTAATGAACTTGCAGTTTCTTTTCAGCAGGTACATCAAGACTGCTTAGCTATCAGTATAAATAAATAAAATATTACGTTGTAAAAAATCAAGAGAGAATTTTCGAAAGGAACTGAAGTAGATTCTGTGTCTGACAGTGACTTAAGTCTCAGCCAAGAGGTCTTTTCTTGGAGCTCCTGACTTCAGAAAATTATCCACAGAGACAAAGGCAGCTCTCACTGACACATTGATGCAGTTATCTTTTACAGATTTGCTGTGGGTTTAACAATCTGCCTGTTGCTTACAAAAGTAAGCACAAGAGATGGGTTCTTACTACAAAGCCAACTAAAGAAAAATGAATCACTCCCAGTCAAGCCAAACTAAACACCTTGTATTTTCTGGTTTGCAGAGCTACACCATTAAATGCTTTTTTTGCCATTAGCTCTGCAGTGACCTTGCATGCACTGAGGGCAGCAGAGCAGAAACCAAGATATCCATCAAACTGTTCAAAAATTCTTAGAGTTCAAAGGCTGCATTCTCCCATCACTTAACTAGGAGGAATTCTCTTGCAATGGACAGAGTGACAAAACCAGCACAAAGGAGGTCAGATGCTGGCTCTTTATCTATAGCTGTCTTCACAAGTGTACATTTGCTGACCAAAATCCTACCATAAAGTTTCTGGGTTTGCAATTACAAGTTAGGAGGTCTCTGTTAACCTCTTCATTCTGAAGACTGGGATTAAAAAGACCTTTTCTGTTTCATTCTCTCAAGGTATATGGGCCTCTGGCATAGAGGAATGTAATTAATGAACCAAAATAGGAGAGGACAGGCATGATCAGGCCTGCTGTAGAACTCAGGAGGCTCTGCATTTCTTGTAAAGGATAACAACTATATCTATAGGCCTGAGGCAGTGTGTCTTACAGTAGTTAGAAGTATGCTGCTTGTAACCTTGCTCAGGCACTCATCCTCAGGAAGAGCCTCAGGACACTGCATGGTAGCTGTTGACTGCTTTACAATTTACTGAAATAGGGTTGTTATAGTGGTCCCTTGTTGAGGACAACAAAAACGGTCATCACTAACCTAAAAATTAAATACATATCCTAGATTCTGACAGCAAAATTGAGGGGGAGTGGGACTGGGGGAGGAAGGGAGGAGAAAGAGCAAGAGATCAAAAGGCTTGCTTTGAAATAGGAAAGTCAATGATTTGGAAACCTTTGGTACTGTATTCAGTCTTATAGACCCTCCTGCTGGCAAACTTACCCAACTCTGTCACCTGTAAGCATTAAAAAAATCTGACTTTGTACAGTCCTCCTCTTGCTCCTGCATGGCTACTCAGACTTCCAAGAAAGCACAAGATAGCAATTACCATAGCAGATCACCACCCTTCTACTGCCAGAAACGTGGTCACACTCTCCTTTCTGAACTATCATGCATTCAAGACAAAGCCCAGAGCAGAGCACGAGATAGAAAAGTAGATTCAGAAATATGGGGAAAACACAGCTGCATTTGATTGCTAATTCTGACATTTGCCACCAAATAGCGGGGAATTGGCTTCACTGATGCTGGAGATCCCGAGTGAAAGTACAGCAGAAGCATGGGGCCTGATCCTTTGCTGGAGTGAATAGTTTGAATTTTGCTGTTTTTTCCAGATTGAGGTTTGGGTCTCAAAAGCACTCTTGCTATCTAGTAAATGACAACAGGAAAAAGTTGATAGTTTTGGGGGTGTGTGTGTGTTTTTGGTTTGTTTTTTTTAAATCTTCAGCAAATGATACTACTGCTTCAACTTTGTTCATTTTCAGTCTATAAAGGAATCAAATTAACAACCCAGTAACCAACACATTTCTTCTTTCTGCTGAGCAAAACTTTGAAATCCTGTCTGAATTTCTGCACTTTTCTCAAATTTAATAAGTTTTGCTCAGTTAGGAACAACTGTGCTTAGCTCTCAGTAAATGCAAAGATTTTTATTTTACTATGGGATTTAAAGGCTTTGTCTCTCACTATGTAGTTCATACTGCTACTTTTCCTTTTATCTCAATGTTTCAAGGAGGTGCCTATCGCTGTAGGACACAGGTCCGTAACTGGCACTCGTGAAGACAGAGGCCAGTATCTGAAGATTTTTCCCAAGTGAATACAGAAGGCACCTGAGACTGCAAATGATACAAAGTCACATTACAGCACCTTTAAAGTGACTACCAAAGTAAGGTCAAAAATACGAGTTAGAAGCACAAATACCATTTACTTTTAATATAACTTGTGCTCCCAAATTCCTTTGATACTGAAAATCCCACCTTATAACTTGCTTGTGAAGTCTATGAAGAAAGAGGGCTGTTGGGGAACAAAGAAATTAATTTTCTTCCCCTTAGATTTCATCCGTCTGAAAAGTGCATCAAATTCTTTCAAAGATAGGCTGGAGGGAGAAAAGGGGAGAGGGAGAGTGGAGAAGAACATTTGGAACTGTAGCTTCGCATCTCATAGAGAGGAACAATTTATCAGAGCTGTGGAGCTGTCAGTCCTTGACATGATAAGGAATAACACCAAATGAGTAATGTTTCCTCCAAACCCAGCTCCTTTAATTATAAGCCGCTTCCTTGCAGAAGAGAGACAGAAGATGCAGAAACACCAATTTCATGCACTTGTGCCTGAATAATGTCTCCGTGCTGCCTTTTCCAGATGGCAACCTTTTCACTGGAGGAACTAATGATGTGGGCATATTTAGGGAAAAACCAATAACGGAGTCTTTAACCTTCAACAGCAAAAAGCATGTTGTACAAAATGTTCCTTGGGATACATTTACAAATATCAATTACATTGCTCACTGAGGTGTAATCAGCTGTAATAATCAAAATTAATTTTAAAAAATAATTAAACAGACCCCAGGGCAAATACTCGATGCTCTTACAGTATGACATCACAGTCTACATATGTACCTGCAAAGAACTTGCTCACTCTGTAAGCAGCAAAGTGATTTTAAGGAATGAGAAGGATGCTGTGGCATGCTGCGAAAAAAGCTGCAGCTCAATAAGATACTATCAGACACATTACTTGTGTATCATAGCCTTCCTGATCAACACACCTGGAAGTGAATCAGTCATCACTGGGGATAAAGCTGCAGCCTGCTACAGCTTGAGCTAAAGGGTTGAGACTCCTTAAACTGATGCTGTAACAGACTCACTGTCTCCTCAGCAGGAGAAAAAAAGACCTTAATATGTTCAGCACTGCAATAACACAAGCTCAGTCCAAAGCTCTGAATATTCTGTCAATGCACTGCTGCCCTACCCTGTAGCTGGTTACTCTAGCCCTAACACACTTAAACAAGTAACATTTAACTGGTGCCTTTTATTTGTATTCTTGACAAGTGCCCAGCAAAAACATGGAAATTGCCCTCTCTCTCAGCAAAGGAGGAGCTTACACATGGAAAAGATAGGCCAGCTGCATTGCTGGCAGTAGGAATGCTGCATACCCTCCAGACCCATCCCTGGTTTATATCAGCACTTGTCTCCTTATCTCTTGAGGCTAAACTAAAATTTGGACCTTTAATACTTCATATTGAGTAGAAAATGAAAGGACAGCACTATGGTAATACCTGATCCTTTCTACTAATTCAGTGTCTGAAGGACAAGGTTTACATAAGCAATGTAAGTCAAAAGCAGCAGCAAAGCCAACATCTCCTCACCTTGCTCTGACCCAGGCAGAGCCCTGTGAGCACAAGCACACACGGGTTACTTAGGGTTTTCCTTTCAAGTGCAACAGTTAGGCCTCATGCAAAAAGTATGCATTAATACATTATATGTTAAGGCTGCCAACCGAAGTTCTTCAGATCAATGACTATTTCTTAGTGATTATTTCTAGCAGTCTAGAAAAGGAACCTTAACTGCAATAGTTTACAATGGAACATGTCAACAGGCATACTCAGAAGTCTCCCAAGACCAGACAAACTCTCCAGAGCCATATCAAAGGCAGAGCCGGTGACAGAGCCAGAAAAGACAAAAAGCAGAAGTTACCTCAGATTTGCATGTCATTTCCTTTGTGTTTCGGCCAGGCATCAATCTAATAGCTGAAGACAGGCTTTCGCTCCAGGAATTGTGCTTGCTCCATGGCAGGCCTGGCCCTGCTTTATTCTGGAGAATCTTCTTTTCAGATGCTGTGGGCCAGAACAGGAAAAAAAAGCTTGTAAGACTTGAAGTTGAGCCTGTGGGAAGGTACAGGGTTTGTATCCACATTACACAAGACACAACAACATGGCCGTGCCTTGCTCCAGCTGGCTTCTCCTCCTACTTATAAGCGAAGCACTGAATCAACATGTACTTCTCAAGTCTTTATTTAAAAGCCTCACAGAGGTCTGCCATAGACCAGTGTCATTATACAGACATGAACTTTGAATACCTGCAGGTCTACACACATTGGGATGCCATTCTTCACCCAAATATCCTCCCTTTTAAATTCTCCAATGGGATACAATTGTCTAAGGAGATTTCTCTTTCTTGCAGTACAGCACGAGCCCTGCAACACCACCAGATGATTACAGAAGGGCTGCGGCATGACACAGAAAGCAATCACAATCCTGGATGGGAGAAACTGAGAATCTGCGTTATCTAGCAGGTGATGTGCAGAGGAAGGGTATAACCAAGGAATCGGTGGCTTTCCATTAAGCGCTGCATTTACTGCAATGTCTTTGCTTACTACAATGTGTTCCATAAAAGAACAGAGACCTATCAAGTGTTGCCAAGCTTTTGTCATGATTTCTTCCCATAAAGGAGTGACGTCCGTTATCTTCATGTCCCTTTCTTTGTCATTTCCTTTCACAGAAAGATCCATCTTGTAAGTGTCCTCCAGAGCCTGCCGCCTCTGAGAAATAAGCTGCTTCCAGGTGATTTCTACTGTTCTCAGAATCTCCTGATGGACTAGGAAACAAAAGAAACTACAAATGAAGAATCATTTTTTGTGTAACAAGTCAAGCAGCAGATAAAGCAAAAACATCTCATTTGGAACAGCACTGGTCCAGAGTAACTGCTGGAGTCAGTGAAGTTGCTCCATTTTGTCTACTGCCTCCATAGGTTCTAAGCCAGACTAGTTAGTCTAATACAGAAAACAGCAGGACATTTCTTTTACTATATTGCAACTCCCTGAAAGGAACAAGTAGGAGTGACAGATGATTCTAACTCATTTCTGCCTTGGAAAACCATCTCATCAGAATTCTGATGATCTTATTATCATAGAGTGCTAAAGCATCCTATTGCCAAACATCATTAGAGATGGTGGGGGAAGGTAACCAAGTCGTGAAACAATTTGTCACAGCAACAGGATGCTGTACAAGGAAGTGCTGAGCTGTTTTGCTCTATTTCCCTGCAAATGAGACTTATTTGGCTGCATCACATCCAAGCCAATATATATTAGAGAGAAGAAGAGGAGGAGAAGAGGAGGAGGAGAAGAGGAGGAGAAGAGGAGAAGAGGAGGAGGAGAGGAGAGGAGAGGAGAGGAGAGGAGAGGAGAGGAGAGGAGAGCACAGCGTACAAGGAAGTGCTGAGCTGTTTTGCTCTATTTCCCTGCAAATGAGACTTATTTGGCTGCATCACATCCAAGCCAATATATATTAGAGAAGAGAAGAGAAAAGAGAAGAGAGAAGAGAGAAGAGAGAAGAGAGAAGAGAGAAGAGAGAAGAGAAGAGAAGAGAAGAGAAGAGAACATCACATCACTCTGCTGTAGGGTTCAGCTGACAGCCCCCACACTGAATCCTGCCCAAAATTTTTTCCAGTGTTTCTCTTAAAAGATCCAAATATTTCTTCCTGTGTACAACAGACAGACACAAGATCCATATAGGCCTTGAAAAAAGAAATAGAACTACGAACAGTATGTAGCTGGGCACTAATACCGGCCACAACATGGAGAAGAGTTCTCCAAACTGATATCCATTACTCCTGAGGATGTGGGCTGTGAATTTTGAGTAAAGAGGTATGGTGTGAACAGAAGTCATTTTTAGCACAATCTTCCCTTCTCTATGCTGTGCCTGCAATGCCTATACACTGAAGAGGCAATTAAGTAGCACTTGCACAAGCTGCCCTGGTAACTGTTTAGGCCAGCCACTTTCCTGCTCTGTAAGCCAAAGGCAACATGTGCCATAAATTACCATCATCTGGAGTAGGCAGGCTGCCCTTTTCCTCTTCACTGGGTGCAAGGAAAATTTGGTGATACGAAGCCAGCTTTGGTTTTGCATCCACCCCAAAACCTTCTGGATAGCTGTGACAAAAAAAAAAAAAAAAAGAGGGCACGTGAGGAAACCAGACTCAGAACAAACTGAGGATAGTGAAAAAGCTAAGGGTATTTCTACACATCCACTCCTATTTGATTCACGTAACCTCGAGGGCTTACACTAATCACATGATACTGAAGAATTTACAGGAAGTGGGAACTAAACCACTGCCAGTCTGCTTTTCAAAGTCAAGGAGCACTCATCAAGATCCTATGGATCACTCCATTGTACATGCCTTATCCCTGCACCACTTAGTGCACTTGTATTTAGCATTCATCTCAATTAGCTGGAACACAGGGCTGTACTGGTGTAGCCAGATTGCATCCAGCTTTCTTGCACCTCCCCTGAGCATCTTGTATGCCATCTCTTTGTTCTGAATTTCTAGAGGTATCTTCTATTATGTGGGAAACACTGCCTTGCCGTACCCTACACCTGAACTGCTTACTTAGTTTAAGTTCTTTGCGCCAGTGATTGTTCATTCGGTTTATAAAGCACTCGGCACAAAAAAGCTGCAGATTTAGCACCATGTTAGTGTCACATAGATGTGATTATAATTGAGAACATCACCACAGTCAAAAAAGAGTTAGTGCTGCTTGGGGGGGTGGTGGTGGTGGGGTGTGTGTGTGTGTGTGTCAGATAATTTACCAGTCAGTAGGTAAAAGACACCAGGAATTTCAGCACAACAGTAATACTTACAATAAATGCAATAGGCTTAGTTAAGGCATCCAGGCAATGTATACTTGGTCACAGAAGTGCTATCAATAATATATATATTATATATAGCCACTAGTGACGTACTACATTCTTTCAATTGTAAACAGGCACTACTACATGGGAGAGTCAAATCTCTTGGGTATGCAAAGCTGCCATTTCCATTTCTGATTTTCTTTTAAATACCACAATTCTGATTCCCTGGATCTGCTATGTTTGGCTTTTGGATAACACCAACACTTCTGTAATTTTTTTTTTTTTTTAATGTTTATGCTTTTGCTACATACAAACAACCCTTACCCCATCTCAACAGTTTTGGCCTGGAAATTATTATCTGACTGGAATAAGAACAATCAAGAAAAGACCTCAGGAAGTGCAGCTCATTTCTGATGTGATACTGTATTAATGGATTCAATTCAGACCATCAAAGCAGCACAGAAGGTTTTCATTGAAACAACAAACATCATTATAGTGAATAAAGCACTAGCCAATATTTCCTTCTTTTGACAAAACAGAGTTGTCCAAAATAACTCCCCAGGTACATTAGCAAGAGTACCTCCGACACATCACCTGTAAGAATAGCAAACAGAGTGGCTATGGATGTTCTAGCCCTACCCAAGTCAATGGCAAAACTCCCAACTTCAGTACAACCAGGACTTTTCAGCTCAGATCCAAGTAACAATAACCATAACAGAAAGATTCACAAGATCCATGCCCAGTTTTATATATGTTTTAAATGTACCCACACAAGAATAGCTGCTGGATCAGAGAAAACATCTCCCTAAATTAGTCCATGCAGATGACTCAGAGAATGGTCACCTGCATGCTTGTGGAGTGATTCTAGCCCAAATCCCAGGAAAATTTCCAGATTCTCATTTTAATGATGGGCTTGTGAGCCAACTCCACTGAAATCAGTTCAAGCTTGTTAAGTGCAGTTACTACTTCGAAGTGAGTAAGCCGCTGGAAATGCTGGATGAGTAAAACAGATACACACAGATGTTTTGGTTAATAAAGAGTAGCAATTAAACCTATGTGCAAATTTGAGGGTTCTGCCTAGACAAACATGCAAGCTTGTCTGGGTGTCTCTGAAATGAAACACCCTTTTCAAAATGAAAAAAATGGAATTAAGCATTACATTACTACCATCCACCGTGCCTTGCTTATTACACCTGCAAACACACATACTAGCCTGCCTCTGAGCAAGAGAAGTGGTAGGCAATTTTCTGTTCACTAGTGTTTCAAGGAGGAGAAAGCCTTCTGATTGAAGAACAGTTTCTCTTCCACTTTCTTGCTGAAAGACAATCCATTGCCTCCAGAATACTGAGCACATTAGCAACCTTCTCCTCCTCCAAATTAAATGATGAAAAATTACATCAAAAAACATTTCTGTTGCTGTTTTTCATTTTTTTTAAGTGTATGAGGAAAACAACCATCTTTCCCCAAGTGGTTTTACTTTGCCACTTCAACAGACACCAAATCAGAGCAGAAGGTTTGCCCTATTTAAAGCAGAATGGTGCTTTAAACCCCCGGAGCACTGAGCCCAATGGGTCAAACACTTGCTAGGATACAGTACACATACATCCAAAATCTTTAGCCTAGCTGCATCCAGCTCAACCTCAGCTTCTAGCGATTCCCCAAAATGGATATTGCCTAAGTTTTGTGAAATCTCCCCCTCTGCACCCACTCCCATAGATAACAGCACAGAGATGTAAACAAACATTGTACCTGCCCGAATTCAGCTGGCAAAGGCAGTACATTAGGCAGACGACGAAATTATTATTTGAGTTGTAAGTTGCAAAAATAATGTCCCACTGCTCCTGCAGGACATTGAGAGTGTTCAGGACATTAAACTGTTCAGGCAGCGATTGTTGTGGTCTGGATAGGCAGTATAGGATGGCTCTGTTTAGACAGCTGTATAGGGCACTGAGGAAAACTTCCTTGTGAGAAACGGAGCTTTCTAAGACCTGTGAAAACACAAAACAGCAGAGTACTTGGCTTGCTCAAAAAACTCTCTCCCCAAGGATCCACTCCTCTCACTTCATTTAAGCTGTTGCAAACTTATTTCAGCAAAATTCCCCTGAACTACCTGTTAGATACAAATCCAGTTTTCCTGTATTTCTGCTGAAGTCCCTGGAATTGTGGAGGAGATTAATTTATTCCTGTTCAGCAACACGTACATAGCTAACAGACAGTGGCACAAAAGAGCTAACTATCCCTTCTTTACACTGCACCATCTAGCTCTGATTGTCATTTTGAGCCTTTATGTGCTCATGCAAGAACACAGGAATAATCACAATCACCAAATGGATTACAGACATCTTCTTGAGAATTGCGGTATCACGACCTCAGTGTGAAACAGAGCACATCACATGTTGATAACAGTTGGAAAAAAATTTCATGTGACTCACCCCCATAATCTGTTTGGCAGTGAAGAGCAGGATTTGCTTGGGGTCAGCAGCAAACATTCTGCTGTTCAGCTTCTCAACCAGCTTCTGAGCACAATAAGCAATATTCATCATGGATATAGGTGCAGTTGATTCTGAAGTGCCGTGAGGATCACTGCTCCCTGGAGAGGATACAGGAGGGTTGATTAATCCAAAACAAGTTGAAATGCAAAAAAAATGATGTGAGATGTGAGGTTACCAGAGCTGAGAAGGAACAGTCTCATACCATAATGTCTCAGAGCTGGGACATGTCTAAGAAAACCCTAGGTCTAGCAGAAATACCTTACTCAGACTGGAAATAACGGCTCCATCCCAGGGACAGAACCAATCTCACTAAAACACCATTGTGAAGGACTGGTCCAACTTCAGAAAGGAGAGCAGCAACAACTACGTTATCAGGGTTGTTTCCAGAAGCACTCGAGGGTAAACCTAGGTTTCTTTCTAATTACTCCCTTTTCAATGTTCAGAATCTGTTCTCGAAAAGAGAGAAAAAAGTGAAAAGGCTCTCTACAAAAATGGTAAAACTACAGTAACTTATGCATAGTGGCCTACAGCAGGAGTGAATGTTTCCAAGCTACTGTTTCCAAACCTTTCTAGCAATTACAGCTACATGCCAAATACCAGCTAGCTAAAGATCTGATTCTCACCACTCACCTCTTGGTCTTGTTTTCCCCTCGCCTTGGCTGGTAACATGGAATACATCCATAGCAGAGAGTAAAACTTTTGTCTGAAAATGTCTCTTCTGCTCACTGGTGGCATCCTCTGGAGAAGCCTATATAGTAACCATACACATATTAGTACAGCAGGAAAACAGCCAGGAAATCAGACTCAAATTCACTTTCAGCCTTTATTCAAAGGCTTTTGATTTCACTGGATCTTTGGCAGATTATGCCTGTCAAAGATTCAGATTCACTAAAAGTTTTGTTCAAAGAAGCGAGTAGAAAATGCAAGAGACACTCAGTACTGAGGTAATTCAAAATGTCCAACTTTTCCCTTAAATACCTAGGCACCATGTTAGGAAGAGGAGGGGAACAACAGCACAGAAAGAGCAATGACAACTACTCCACCTCACTTGCACACTTTAGCCCTTGGTGTAGGCATATGAAACAGCTACTGCAAGCTGAGAAGTTATCTGTGACAGCTAATCCACAGTAACACATAAATGCAGAGATCTGGTGTTCTCCTCCGTGCAAAGGCAAAAAGGCACCTCTCATACAGAGTTCAGCAAGAGTGCACGTACGGACAGTTACTGGGCAGCAGATGAGATGGCAGAACCTCATACCCTAGCTAGGAAAACAGGAAATCTTACATAGGTCTACACTTCCTAGCTGGTAGCCAGCATAGTTGCACTCTGCATACTGAACACAAACAAGGTTTTGCACAGGGACAGAACCTAGGTTCACAGGTGGTTCCCAAGACATCTTGCCCTCAGGGAATTTTAGCTCCATTTAGCAGGCTCAGGATTCAGATCAGAAGAGCCATCCTCTATTTTAAACTGTACCAAGCCTTGAGATTTTATTGTATAAGCCTTGTAGGGAACTGCTGCTCCGCAAGACAATTTAACTCATGACAGTTGCAGTCAAGTTTACGTTCATTACTATTTGTATTACTAAGGTAAGTCTGCATCAGAACTCACATCTAGGACACCTGGACTACTGACAATTTGGAGCCGAAGGCTAAATTTTCCATTTTCCCTTTCTTCAGACTACTCTGACTCTTTCCAGTGTTTTGAGTGGTTGAAATCCATAATCCAGACTCAGCTGTTACAGCTTGTATTAATCTGTCCTAAAATTAACTTGTTTTTGGTTATTTGAGCACTGAAAAGAAATTGTTGCCTAAAAAATCTGTACACAGGAATGCTCCATGTGATATCTTCTGTTCTCAACAAATTCAAGGGCTGCTCTAATGACAAGCAGGTATTACTAATGAAAAGGGAAATTTTTTCATGCCTTACTTCAATGTTAAATGTTGCCTGAAAAATGCCTTTATTGTTGTCTAGGGGCAGCATTTTCTTAGTGCACATGAATACAGAGCAGGCAGAAAAGGCCTTTCTTCCTTGCTGAAAAGGTAGGAATTCCATTCCACTAAGTAGGTTGTCCAGATCTGCCAGGAAGTAGTGCACGCTCTTTAAGAGCTGTGATCCCAGCCTTATCCTAGGCTATTGAAAATCCTGACTGAATACACCTCTTCATCGCTGTTAGCACTTTTCTCACTCGGCCACTAGCAGGATACCTCCTGTCCTTCCATCCCCAGAGCAAGGTAGAGCAGCAAAGCCTGATAACTACAAGAGAGACCTCAAGAAGCAGCTCAAGTGGATGCCCTTGTTTGTTTGCTGGGATGTTGAGAAGACTGTCCATCAGGAGGACTCGTACAAAATCCCACACTTGTTTCTTGGCAGGGTGTGGTAGGAGCGGGAGAGAGGAGGGATCAACACAGCCTTTCCCTTCAGCAATAGCTGGACCATCAGGAGACAAAAGGCCTTCAGAGCCTCCCTGTGGAAGCAGAGTGCAATGCATTTTAACTCATAAACTTTAAATTGATTTTTCCTCCTAGCAACCCATCTCTGATCTAAAGAGCTTGTGCTAGCTCAGATGTACATACCTTGGGCAGTCCAGAATGGAAAGCAACCATAGCCAAAGTTTTCAAGAAGTCAGGACAGTGCCACACAGGGTCCTGAGTATAACTGTGATAGATCAAGCACAGAAACTGGATAATGTTCCCTGGATAGGCAATCTCCCAGGAGGCTTCTGCATCTGCAATAGGCTGAACACAGACAAATGTGCATCTAGTCAAGGCAACATTCCTCTCACTCATATAAGCTCTTTTTTGCTCCTCTCTAGGTATTCCTAAGCAACTAAGCAAACATGACATGGCCACAGAGAAGTCAGGCAAGGCACAAGCAGCCAACTCCCAGCTTGTAGACTGGCGATACACCCAATCAGAAATATCTGGCATATCCTTATCATCAAGAATGAACAAAATGGGTAATGCTGTTGGCAAGATCCATCTCTGTGTTCAGAAGTTCTTAAACATGAGCCCATCACATCATCTGCTATGTAACATAACCAGGCCAATAGCTGTGCTGACACTTTGAAGTCCCTGCTCACTACTATGCTCAGTATTGCCCTGTGAGGGCAGAGGGAGGCTAGGGGTTACAGGTAAAGACTGCCACTGACATATGACACTCTCAGGCAGTTTATTCTGCCATTCATACTGCACGGTCCTTGCAACAAAACGCTTACCTTGTCCACAGTGACTCTAACCATTTCCAGCAGTAAAGCAGCTGCCTCTGCACACAACCCAATTTTGAGGACATTCTCCGTAAGGTGGTGCTGCAAGATCCACTGCAACATAGACTCAAGATCTTTCTACAACAGGAGGAGATATATTTCAAGAAGAGATGGGAATTATTTATGATACATCAAGAACAATACCTGCTCTCTCTACATCAGAAAAAAACCAAAACATCTTCACCTCCAGCAGCTCCTCCCTCTCCTATTAAATGCACTTCCCCAGGATAGCACTAATGGGATTGTCCTCTTCTGAAAGATATCTTTGGCACTGTTGGGGCAAAAATGCCTTATGACTTCTCAGGACACTGGGGGAAAGTACCAAATCCACTAATTCTGAGATTTTAATGAGTCTTGACAATGTAAGGACAGGGAAGCTAATCTGAATTACCTTCTAAAGTGCAGCAGTTAAATGGCATTTAACACCTGTGTGAACAAGTTTGTCACGAACACAAATTTCCTTAAATCAAAGTTACCTTGCTTCATTTTTAAACTATGAATAACTGATTTTAGCTGTCAAAAAAAACAAGTAGGGTTAACTTGCCTGAGAATCCTCTCACAGAAAAGGTCACAAAATGCCAAAGTAGTAAAGCAATAGCAGCTTCATGCTTGTCCGCTATTTTTTTCATACCTTGGCTGCTTCAGGTGGTTCAGACTGTGGAGTTGCCAGAAAGAGCCCTGCCACAAGCAAGTAGATCTCAGGGATGTGGACATGATCAGTCAGACATCTTTGCAACACAGAAAACCCAAAAATCAAGAAGGAGCCATTGTCACGCACTGGAGGATGAGTTTTTAAATTATCTTTAAAGGAAAAGAAAAGGGAAACATTCTGAGAAAGTGTCTACAAATGAATGCCATATCAGAAGAATGATTACTGACCCAACTTTATCCTCATACGTCTGTGTCCCAGGCCACTCAGTAGTCTGCTAGGCTGTAAGATCAACAGTTCACAAAACTTCCTCAGACTAACAGATAACAATTTTTCCCACTATCACTTTTGTTACAGGAGATTCTCCCTAAATAATTCTTCCTTTCTCTTCCCTTTCTCAGAACCACAGGTCTAGTTATCAAAACGCAGCTGAACAAATCTTAAAGAAACAGAAGGTTTCAGGGTACAAGCTGACACTTGAACATCTCACAGGCTTACCAACTAGCCTGATTTTATGCAAGACAAAAAGGCCCGTCTCCCTGTGACTGCTAATCAGAAATGCCAACTATCATGCAAGGGAGAAGCAATGCTTTCCACTCCTCAGTGCAGAAAAGCTGAAGTACTAGGACAAGCTTGCCCTGGAAAGTAATACCAATTCTTGTTCTACTGAGATCAGCGGGAATTCTCCTATCACCTACTTCAGTGATCTCCTATCACTGAGCTGGATCAAGGGATTGTTTGGGGAGCATTAAACCAACACATACCCGTTAGAATACTCAACCCCACAGAGCTGTTTTCCAGCCAGCGTCCAGCCACTGTTCCCTCCTTGAATTTGTTCAGCAGCAAACGATTGTGGAGGAAGCACAGAAGTAGCTTGATTCCTAGCACAACCGTGCTAGAGTGCAGGTAGCTCTGTGTGAACAGCAGAAACCAGTCTGGCCCCAGTGCCAAAAATGTCTCTTCTTGTTCCCTAGAACAAACAGAGAAATGAAAGCACATGAAAGGAGACATGGTGAAAGACAGAAAGAAGATTTAATTTAAAATTATCTCTAGGTGATTTAGAAGCTCAAGTTTCTCTAGAAAAAATCTGATTAAGGGTTTACCGCAACACAGAATTACAAAGATTTAACAACAGACTCATCCACACAGTTCAAGCCACTTAATTCCCAGTAAATCCAACCTTATGTTACTGTCAGACAAAAAAAAGCTCGTTAACATGAAGCTCCTGAGACTGTGTATCAATAACTGAAGTAAACTACATCACAGGCTAGCTCTTTCAACCTATGAAATTCAAAATTCCAGTTTAAATTTTGAAGTCCAAAATATGTTAACTAATGAAAACGCACAGTTACAGCACCCAGCACTATGAACTCTGCCTTTCCATTATACAAGGTAGAACTATGGTAACTGCATGTTCATGGTTACAATAGAGGGGTGCAAGTAATCCCACATTAGATTAAATTGATTTTCAAAGACAGCTGGGATTTCTTCAACCCTTGCAATGCAGAAGAAACAGCAATATCCTAGTTCCTCCTTTGAGACATTTTCTGAAAACATTAAACTTTTTTCAAAATGGAGATCAGATGTGTGATCTGATTACACATCTGTGTGAATGCCAGATAAATCACTGACAAAAAAAAAAATTCTGAATCCAGTCTGCTTTTACTATTTTGTTGAGACTCAAATATTATCAGTGTGTTTAGTCCTGGTCAAACACCAGTAAAGAGGAAATCTAGAAGACAGAGACATTTACCCACGCCTTCCTAAATTGTTTCTACTTACTCAGAGGACAGATGAAGTTTGTCTGAGCGCATTACATCTAACAGCATCTTCAGTAACTGGTTTCGAAGCCAGATTGTCTTTCCAGATGTTTGGCTTAAGGCTACAAATATCAGAAAGTAATAAAGAGTAATGAAGAGACAAAACACATGTTCCATTGCTTTGATGAACAACCTTGTTTGCACCAGATTAGCCCAATAGAAGTACTTATATCAGTCTTTTGTAGAGTAAAAAGATGCAGACATCAGATTTTAGACATAAGAATTCCTGCTAACATCAGAAATGACCAGTGCTTATATTGTCAAAGTCCTTCTTTAGAGTTACTTAAAACTCATCCAGACTACATGTTGAATAATAATCCACAGGAAGTAATCTCAGGTTAAACTGGAGAGGGAAATGTAGACAGGCAATTTGACTTGTATTGCCTAGCTGTGATGTCTATATAGATTAACTACAGTTATCAGTGTCTCCTTAATACAATATTTTGTTTAGAGGTGCAATAACCGATATAGTCTCAACTGAAAGATCACAATGAAAGAGCCAGCTGACTGGAAGTTCCCACGCACAAAGTTGACATAAATACACAGATACTTTAAAAGGTGCAGAGCTCCACATTATTATTTGCTACAACTGTAAGTGTAGCCAAGTATTCACAGAAAATCCAGGATGCCAAGTGAAATTTTATTCCTCGTAACAGCCCAGTACGTTAGTTTTCGGGCAATTTCAATTTAATGGCCTTCATCTTTGTGTATATCTGTGAAATCCAACATTATGTAGGCTCTGGACAGTGCAGCCAAAGTATTGCTGGCTTATTAGCAGAGAGAAGACAAAAGAGGAACTCCCTTAGCAGAAGGAGGATCTTGCTGTAGGTCAGGCCTTCCTGGATATATACACAGTGACTGTCATTTCACTATTCTTCACATCATGCCTTTGCAGCAATATAAGTTTTCCCCACAATTTCAGGTCACCTCAATGCAGCCTGTCCCTTTCCAGATGAAGTCATATGAATTGTGTCTCTTCCTGCCACTGGAGGCAGAAGCACTATGTTGCATTTAGGGTTCATCATGCCCTGGGGAGTAAGGGAAGTACTTCAGCTATCTATCAGAACACATACACCAAAAGTAGCTCTCACCTTCATGGGGCATCTCAGCCACACCATCCAGGCAAATCTGATTTTCATCCACAGAAGAAGGTTTCAAAGTGTAAACAAGGAACAATCCAATCCTTGCAGAGAAAGAGGGAACCAGTTTTGGTCAGTAGAAAGACAGCCATTCATTTAATTACTTTGAGATTACATGCAAATCTCAATACTCATTAACGATGACTGTTAACAACGACCACTGGAAATTTTAATGGCTGCAGAAATAGGGTTGAAATAGGAATGCAAAAGCTCATAAACTAGGAAGCAAATAAAAAGGACATCTATCTACAAATGCAAGTAATATCTATTCTACTATGGAAACATTTTTCTCTTTATCTCTTGATTTTAAAGGTCATGCTTTCACCATGAGGAAAGCAATACTGAGTTAAGCACTCTGTTCATACAAAAGATTCTGAACTCCCTGTGGCATTCAGATATCCCTGTTATCCCCACTTAGTTTCCAAGCACATAAAAGAAAGCAGAGAAACCTCAGCAGCTACTCAGGGAGGAGGACCAGCAATCTCTTTTCACCTGTACTTTGCTTTAACACGTTACCTGGTTCTAAGGATAGATAGATTAATGTAACATACACACTTAGTGAAAGTGCATAACCTCCTCCTGCCCACAAGGGCATTTCTTAAGGGACAGAACACCACTTGTTCTGCAGGAACAGTCCACACAGCAATTTCCATTAGATGTGTCAAAAGTCTGGGACCAGCAGAAACCCCAGCACCTTTCAGTGCTGCTGAGAGCCTGCTATAGTCTCTGCTCTCCTGGAGCTGGAAGGATAGGGACTGTCTTTACCCACTCGCTCAACGCTCATGGGCCTGACAACCAATCAAATTACTATGGGTTAACAAATCATGATACTTTAAGAAAAATGCTCATTCATACTGCTTACTACATGGCAAATTTGATATACTAAATCCACTACTCACACCTGTATGAAAAAAGAATAGGCTAACACATGCAAGCCCAGGGTAGGAACATACATACAGGTAATTCCACAAAACAGGTGGCAAGCAGTAAGTTCACATATTAGCTTACTCCACAGTAACTACTTGAGGTGCTCGTACTCTTCAACAGAGCTAAAGGCTGACTGCAGAGACCACAGATTTGACATGCAGCTCTGTTTCTACATTTTATTTGGACAAATAGTCTTAAAAACAGAGCTGTCATCTGTGCAGTGCATTTCCCTGGAGTTAGGTGGCTGTAGATGGCCCTGTGTGGACCTTCCTCAGTTCATAGGCTACAGGCTGATGCAACTAGGCTGTGAATATAAAATGGAGCAGTGTTTACATTCTGTGGAAAGCAAACAACAATTTAAATTCTTTGCTTCATGAAATCCTGACTAACATATGTTAACTGATTGAAATTCAAGAACAAAAAGGATAGCTACTGGGATATAAGCCAAGCCAAGAGGATTAGGTACATAGTTGACTGGGGCCAAGTTGCAATACTATAGCAATTGCAATACTTTAGGGGCAGGTTTTAATGAAATCAAATATTAAGTATAGACTTTGAGTAGTCCCAGTCATACCTGCAGATCTGTTTGTGCCATCATTGTAAGGGTCATCACCCAACCCATCCTCACATAAATATAAGGTTGGACTGAACTCTGTTTTGAAGGCATGAAAGAGTTTTTCATCAGTGGGGATCCTGCAGTTGCCAAAGATCCGGGGGCTCCTACCAAAGATGAGGTGAGGGAAGTCCTACCATAGAGCTCTCTCCAACAGTGGCAGGAGTATAGCTCATCTGCAAACTGAGAAAAAGCTGTAGACTTGAAGGTTACCTGAGAACATCCCTTGTGTTAAAGTATCCTTGCAACAGATGGGAGAGAATAGTGCAGGCCACAGTGATCCTGGAGTTACTGATTTCAGGATCATTGAAGAGGAAAATGAGCTTGGGCACCATTTGCACCTGGTAGGCAACTGCAGCATTTTGACATCCATCTCTGTAAAAAAGCACAGGGACTACTAAAAGGTTTTACTGGAAAGAACCAAATTTGCTGGGTTTCAGCTAAAAGGATTCTCAGGTTGCACTGATACTTTGCACCTTTGGCTCCTAATGTTGCCTTGGCAACATTTCAAACACTGTCAGACAAATTGAATATGTGTCAGCGATGGAGATCTGAAGACTTCTTTGTGTGTTCTCTACCCTTCCCATCTGCCCTCTCCCCCAGAAACTGCTGTATTTCAACAAGTTCAAAGAAAACAACATTACTGAATTTTCAAGCAGTGCGTTTGTGGTAATAAATGCTATTTTTGTAAAACTCAGCAAGGGACACCAGACAGCTCTGCATAGAGCTTTCTGGTACCAAAAAGAAGGAAGCTAGTATCCTGCTGTACACAGCCCCTCTGCCATCCTATGTATCTTCAGATACATTTAACTTTAGTACAGCTGATTAAGAAAGTTATACAAAAGTCTTCCTGGGTCCTGTTCTGGTTTTAAACCCAACTTCACTTATAATTTTTTGATTATTTCATACTCAATTCAAACATTCAGATTTCCCCTCTCCAGCAGACATTTAAACTTTCATTGTACAGCAGTGGTTCCATGTGAACCAGGTCACCAGATAGCTTTTCCCAGTGTGGTCCCACAGTCATCTCGGGCTGATCAAATCACTAACTTCAACCTTGAAAGATCAATACAGGAAATGATTCACTCCCAGAGCCCACTGATTCCAGCTAGGATTGGACCCTTCATATCCACCTCACAGTTCCAGCTTCAGGTTACAGATGAGCTTGTCCCACATGTTTCTGATACAAACACTAGCTTGTGTACCTGGAGGACTGCAAGATCTCCACAAGATGTGAAAAAAGAGCAAGGTCAAGATTTTCTGGTGCTTTCATCCAAAGCTGAAAGACAAAGAAAAGCAGAGGTTTTACTGCTCTGCTGAGCTGAAGGGACAGTAACCTGTGGCAGAGAAACAGTTACAAGTAGTTCAGGGAGGACAGCATCATAAACTCTCAGTCGTTTCTGCAATGACAACCTGCAGGCACTGGGAAATCCCTGCTGGTATGAGGAGTTGCTGCTCCCAAGCAAGCCCTGAGGAGAAGGTCCTCAGGATCTGCAGGAACACTCCAGAAACTGCACCAGGGCACAGTGGGGAGCCATGGTGACAGAGGACCTGCCATTCCAGGACCACCACCCCAGGTGAGCCACAGTGTGGAAAATCACCACACACCACCCCATCCCAAATATTGGAGGTGCTATGAACAAACCAAACCTCATACTATAAAGCTATCTTTAATACAGCCAAACCCACAAAGTAGCATCAACAGTTTTACCTCGAAGTTGCAGAGAACGTACTGGAATGCACTGTAATTCTTGATGACCGAAGACTCAAAGCCAAGCTCAGCTGTACCCACTAGGGAGAACATTAACTGTAAAATCCTGTTGTTTAACAGCTGTGTCTTCCTCTTCAGTAGATAGGTCAACAACTGAAAAAAAGATTTAATAAGTATCTGCTAATTATAAATCTGTATTTATAAACTAACATATAACAATATTTTTTAATTCAAGACAAACGCACAGTTTATTTGGCTGTAGTAGTCATGCATGCATACATCTTACGTAAGCATCATGAAGAAAGTGAAGATTTCAGTCCAGGCATAAAATTTTGTGCAGTATGTGAAAGGGCGAGTTTTTGAAGGAGTTTCACAACTCTGTGGCATTGAACAGGAGCAAAATACATGCCATATTATGTTGAATGGAATTTACAAAAAGCAACATACAAATGTAATTGTAAATAACCACAGTAGGTTTTCTACACTATTCTTCATGGATGTAATCTTAGTTGCTTGCAAATGGTGCTAGTTTAAAAAAAAAAAAATTAATGTTGACCTCTTCAAATGAAAGACATTTGTGTGAAACATTGCCACTTTCTCAACTGAGTCTTTGATTATTCAATGAATTCCTGATACAGTGAGAAAAATGTTCAGAAAGCCACTACATTTTGCATAGGTTGGGAGGAATAGACATTCATTTGAAAATACATATCAAGACACATTTTTATTAGTTGGCTGTTTAAAAAAAAAAAAGGTTCTGACATCCTAACAAAGAGCAAAACCACTCCATTGCAACATGATGATCAGCCACGTGGAGAGAACATTATTTAGCACAGAGTCGAAAGCTTGTATACAATCTAAAGGCTGGCATTCATCTACAAGAAAGGATTGGGCAAGCAATACCTAAGTATGATAAACATATTCATATGAATCAGAATCAATTTATGAGCAATTCACAAATTGGGAAAATGGAAAGTTTATAATAAATTATTCATGAAGCCCTAATATTAAGAGTCTTGTTTGGAAACACCTCTGTTAAAGAGTCTTCTCTGTTCCATAAAACTCTTCTCAGCCTACGCAGCATAAAGTAAATGATACCGAACTGAAACTTCACACTTCAGCCTTAACCCATCCAATATTACATATATAGTGCTTAAAATTTGCCCTGGTTCTCCCAAAGCCCTGAAACAACCAAACTCTTCAGTCTGCACAGCTTTCACGTTTGAAAGATGTATTTAGGACAGATCTAACCAATATAGTTTGAAATCCAGACAGCGCTTATTTATATCAGCACAATTTCTAATACACAGTGAAGACTGAGCCATAGGAATTCATTGTCAGCCCTACACTGGGCAGTCTGTAAAGAGGAATCTTAGGCTGGATGAGCCAAGAGGAGGAAGCAGACCTGCCTGAGAAGTGGTCTCTTGTGGGAGGGACCAAGTATGTTGGTAAAAGGTGAAGGGTGGGTCACTCAAATCTGCTGCATTGACTTTACTAACTATAGTTGTCTTAACACCTTCCATTATTAGATCATGTCTGACCATGAGGCACCTGTCCTCACCTCCCATCAGCAGATATACTGTTACAGAGGTTCCCAGAGATTGTAAGCAGAGGATTTAGAGCATCCCCCTCTCAAAGATCTCATAACTTACAAAGCTCCAACCATAAGGGCTGATAGCCAGGATATGCTTGGTTCATTGCCATTGTTAAGTTTTGGGATAAGACTAAACCCAGAATGAATGAACAACAGAGTATCTACCTGGTATCCACCCATGTGCCTCATCAATTTTTCACTCATTGGGCTACTGTTCAGGATGGAGTTCAGGACTTTGACAGCTGCATACATGGTGTGGTCATCACGGGCCATAGCAATGAGACCCAGGAGAATGGCAGGGCCTCCAATGAAGTTCAGGCTAGTAGCTGCTGGACAGGACCGGAACACTCTGACCCCTAGAAAATTGCAGCGTTACTTTACTTTAAGTTACATGGACTAAATCTGTTATTGGACAGAGAAAGGTCCAACTCTTAAAAAATATGAAACATTAAGACATAGCACATTTACCATATTGGCCCACAGCAACTGACCCAATAGCCCGCAAGGAACCGGAGAGGTGTCCAGCAGTATTCTTAGCCAGAAATACTGGAGTTGAACTGTCCCGAGAGTTAATCCCAATCTAAAACAGATAAAAGAGACATCCTCAGAGAAACCATGGTAGTACTGGGGAGACAAAAAGTAACAAGCAGATGCTCTAATCTTTTAGATTATTTTATTACTTTTAGACTATGAAAACCATATTTTTTTCCTTCAAAGTTGATTGTTAGGACAAACGTTCACCCACCTAAAATATCGCACAACCCCATTACTTTGACATGTCAGCAGGCCTGGCATTGGCAAGAATGCTAGGACAGAATGTGAAAGGTCATTGTGAAGGCATTAAGAAATCACAGACTGAAACAAATTATCATTAGACCTGAAAACTATGGCTTCTGTTGCTGTTTCAAGAAAGGCTTTTAACATTGTGTTCACACTGTCCGGTCTATTCATCTCCACAGATGAAAACAAAACCATGAGTAGAATGGAGTTAAGGAATGGGAAGAGAAGCTGGAAAAAAATAAATCACTGAAGGTATGTAATTAAGACAAAGTCACAAACTTTGCTGTTTGAAACAAGAGAAAATGTGTTTAAGACAAATGAAGGAAATTTGTGACCTCTTTGGCAATCAGCCGGCCATCCACTTCATTGTAGGAGCTCTTTATATCTTGGACCGTAGTGAGAGATGAGCACGTGGCATTGATTCCAAAAGAAATCTTCTCTTCTGCCACCAGAGGTGTAGGATTATGATCACTGTGCTGGTCCTCACCTAAAACAAGAGAGACTATAAACCTCTGAAGGAACTTTGCGTGCTCAGCATGTGAGACAGGAGAGAGGCAGATGAAAAATAATTGGAGGAAACCAAAGTTTAGATAGGAATTTGATTTTGACTTAACTATGATCAGAAAAAAGCCCTCACCCTTTGCAACAAAGTCCATGGCAGCTTGCCAGCGTAAGCACAAGTAGGAGACATGCTTGGCTTGTCTCCTCTAGTTACTGCTTGTGTAAGTCCTACATCCTCTCCCAATATCTTATGAAGTCCCATAAGAAGTAGACTGACATCCTCTCCCATATCTTATGAAGTCCCAGTCCTACCTCCTCTCCCAGTATCTTACAAAGCTCAAAAAGTCCAGAATAAACCTTTCTCTGTTCACACAATATAAACAAACTTTCTGGGCAGAGAAAACACCTGAGGTCTTCCATGTTACTGGGAGCTTTCTCAGGGGTACTAGGAGCAAGGATTCATGTGGAAGAAAAAGGACAGAGGCAAAAGTTTAGAGCTGCCAACTCACAACATATGAGAAGCTTGTAAAAACTACCAGGTGCAGCAGTTTAATGATTGTATGAAATTCTCACATGCTTTTCTTTAAAGAATTTTCTATTTCTGCTCGCACTTGGAAAAACTATGTGTACCTTTTTAAAAAAAAAAATCTTGTATCTTTGACAATTTTGGAGATTGGGAAAACAGCTGATTTATGAAACTGTTTACTAATGCTGGTGACACAGCCCTTATAGGCAAAAAGAATTAGCACATATTCCACATGAAAATTAACTAGAAGTAAGTGCCCCAAGACTGCGTCACCTATTTCCCTTCCAGTAGGACACGGACTTATGGCTAAGCCTCCACACAGCTGCTGCTGATTAGTGAGAAGCAATGGGATACTGGTGCGATGGGACACAACACTGCTGAAACAATTCAAACTGCTGAAACAATTCAAATTGCTGTTCGCAACAAGTTCATAAACCCATTTTAAGGAACAAACCATAATATTTTGGTGTTTTGTGCTGAAACTTTTTTTAAGTCAAAATTTCCATTAGAAAAGTTTCGTTGGGTGTTTTGATGGAACAGGGAGATGTTAGGTACC